TGGCTGCAGCTGCAGCCTCTCTTTCCTTCCTGGCATCTTCAATGAGGCTTTGACGTCTACCAATGAACCGTGGAGACTGAAGGCAGAACAGAAATTAATACTGCTGACAGAGCTGTAGGGGAGATCAGAGGCATCCCCAGTAGCTAGATGAGTTGTGACCAATGTGTCGTAGCAGAAGAAGAAGGGGAAGGTTGAACTAACTTGCCTGGCTTTGTAGAGGAAAATCTGGTGATGAAGACTGAGACTTTACAATTGAACTTTCGGAAACGTGGAGCTTTAGGAAAAATCTGCATACAATATCCTTGTAGCATGACTCGAGATCAGGCATCTTCCCTCACCTTCCCTAGCAACAGTTTTCAATATCCTTCAAAAAATAAAATTCAGGAACAATCTTCCGCAGTTTTCAGGTGTCTGATGAATTGAAGTCGAGAGGTGTTAGATAAACCTGAAGTTATCTGAGAAAAGATACGCTATGAGGGAGAGCTGAAACCTGCAGCTGTGGCCTGGCCAGGAAACATGAATTGTTTGCAGGTGTATTAGCAGGGCAGCTTAGCTAAACTGCTCCCAGGATCCAATGTGGCATTTTCTTCTGACATTAAGTGGATGCTTGCATCCATATACCCCAGAAAATAAATTCCTGCCATGGATCTATAGATTTATTTCATCCCAACAAACTCCTGAAGATTTCTGTTATTTGGAATTGCATCTAAAGTGCTGCAACTCTGTGCCTGAGGTCATGTTAGGTCACCCATTTATATTTATATTGAGGTACAAACTATTTCAAACACTTCTGTTTCTTTTGTTATACAAATAGCTCATGTACTAACTTACTTCTTCTTGGTCTTTTTACAACCAGTTTTCCATTTAGAGGAAGCTCAGCTGGTTCCAATTTTCTGTGTTCAATACCCAAACCAGATGATAAACCCTCAGGACTTGCTAAAAGAAACGTGGGGCAGCACTGAAGAAGGAGCAGCACATAAAGCTATCCAGCACCTGCACATAGAGTGGGACTGGCTACAGTTTTCCCTCTGATTACATTGCAAATATCTGGAAAAGAGATAGATGCTAACCAAGCAGCGACTTCCCTACCTCGTGAAAATGTGGAGAACATTTTCCTTTTAAAAAGACAGCCTGCTCGACTACTAAGGCCATTTTCTCTCTGATTTTCAAAGCCCATCATCAGTAGTTAATGTTTCCTGTGAAAATCCTCTTGGATGCTTTAGTGGTGTAAAGCTGACATTTTAAATGCAGCCTGAAGAATGCAGCACATCCAGGCACAAGCCCACGCACTTCTATCCAGTCCTTTTTTAATAAAGATACCCCTCTGAAATTATATTTGCTGTTCCTCAACCCCTTTATTCCTTGTGGCACAGAAAAACACCTTTTAACAAATAAGCACATATTGCTGCTTGTCTAAATCAATGGTATTCATGCCCGAAGGGAGAAGACATCTAATAATTATTCTGAGGCATAACTTTAAAAAGCTGTGAGCATGTGCCCAGCTTTAAGTGTGTCTTATATCACTACCGTGTTTAAAGATAAGCTGGTGTTGACTTTAAAGTGCCTGCAATAAGCAGGGCAAACAGCCCTGTGCTAGCCACAGTAACCGGGCTCTGCAGCACTCCCAAGCCAGGCAGTGCTTTAGCTAAGAAGGTTTTATCGCACTGTGCCCTGAGGAGCAGAGGTGCAGCAGGATTTTACTTCTGGGGTGGAGTGGGGGGGAGGAGGGAAATTAGATCGCCATGTTTAGGCTAGAAGTCAGGTTAAAATTCGACTGGGAGGATCTTAAATAACGAGAAGAATTGTGTGACTGGAAAGTCGCACTGGGAGAGGCAGCCACGACCAGTTAGACCCATGTGCTGGGACTGGGTGGCCCGTGGCAGGTAGGAGCAGGGGGTTTCAGTCCCTGTCAAGGGGTCCTGGAAGCTGCTCAGCTCCATGCTGGCGTGGTTTGGGTGGGTCTATTTAAAAAAAAAAAAACCAAACAAGAAATGAAATAGGCTGAATTTTCTTGGGCAAAGAAGACTAGGAGGGATCTGCCTGCCTGCTGCCTCCCCTGCCGGGTAGAGTCTGCCCAGCTGCACGCTCCCCATCTCACCATCCTGTCCTCTGCTCCTCACATTTACACTCATCGGGGTATCACCTCCTTCTGCTGGACATTAGGAATCTGGCATATAAACTCACTAAACTGATCTCTCATGATAAATGCCTTCCTTTCTTCGGAAGGCGCCATTACATGGTATTTCTGAACTGCCTTGCAGACTAGCTCCCTGAGTGCCTATCTAGCTACAGTGAGAAGTTTAGTTTGATTTCACAAAGCATCTATTTGCCTAACCGGGGACTGAGTCTGATATGGTCATTCACCTCTTACGCAGGGTTAGTTCATTTTTCCGCCTTTGAATTTGGTGCAGCTCACAGTGCCATGCCTAAGCAGTGTCTTTAAAAATACTGTGCCAGAGAGTTGAAGTACTTTGGCTTTATTTCCTGGCTCATTATTTGCAGCAAGCAGAAAGGATTGTAAAGACCGTTTCCCTCCCTGCAGCGTGGGGACAGTAACGTCCCACCCCTGCTTCCCTGGGCGCTCCTTGCTGCTGGTTTGCCTCCAACTGCTGTCTCCAGCCTGGCTCTGCGTGTGTGCTCCGTAACCAAACCCCGCTCCAGCCACAGTCCCAGGATGTCTTGTAAAAACTATCAGCAGCAGAAAAACTAAATACGTAACACAAGATTTTTCCACGGTGTGAGTTTGATGTTTGGCTCGCCCAGCTGACATGTAAAATATCTGCTGGTGTAGATGAGTTCTGCGATTGCTAAGGTCCTTTTTTCCCCCCCGTCTGCACAGTTTCCCCTGCAGCGGAGCACTGGTCCCTCAGTGTCAATGGCAAGGAAACACCTCAGCCTGCCGGAGCTGGTGCGGTGGTGGGCAGGGGCTGGGTGCCCACAGTCACACCGACACCATGAGAGCAGGGGACATGCGACGTCACATACAAATGCAGAGTCATGCCTCTTGCCTGGTAGAAATAAGCGGCGGGATTGTGGAGTGCTCCTGTGCCAGGTGAGAGCAGAGGGCAGAGCCTTTCATGCAGCCTGCTCTCAAAGTGATATTAACAGGGGTAAGTTTTAATTTTTTTTATTTTTTTGAGAATTTGAATTTACATTCAAAGAAGAGACACAAAGATGGGCTGAGGTTTTATGTCCACCCCAGGCTGGAGGTGCCGCTCACCCCAAGAAGGCTGGCACGCTCCTGCCAGCACATCTGGTGAAGCCAAATTCCTCTGGCCCCTTCATTCAGTGGTCTGTTTCCCACCAAACATGAAGCAGCACCCCGGAGTGTATAATAACCAAACACCCTCCCCTTCGTCAGACAGCAACGAGTGTCTCAAGTACTGATTTGATGAGCAGAGTAGAAAATAGTGGTTTTCAAGAATGACTTTAAGTGTTCATTATTTTGCCAGAATGAAACTGGTTGTGTGAGAGGGAAGCCTTCCCTGATTTCCATTTATTAGAGAAAGCAGGCTTACCTCCTTGTTTCTTAAACGTTTCTCTCCTTTCCAGCACACTCCACTCTCCAAAACACCTCCCACTGCCTATGTAGTGGCTGATTTCACCCAGTCAGAGCATCACACAAAGTTAAGAGGAGAGCGGGTGAAGCAGGCAGCAAGCATAGAGGAGGGGAGTGGGGAGCTCTGTAACCAGCCTGCTGGAGTCACCCTGCAGACGCCTGCCAAATGCATCTGTCCCCTAACCCTGCTCCAATCCCGGGTTTCCTCCTGCCAAGCATCCCGAGGAGGTCCCCTCCCGATGCACCCACTGCCATCCGCTGCTCTGGCTCCTCCAGAGTCACCCACAGCCTGGCCACACCTCTGACCCACAGGACTGTCCTATGATGGGAGTCTTGGGCTCCTCCTGCCTGCCCTGGCATTTGGGTTAGAAGATAAAATGTCCCTGTACCTACAGCCAGTCCAACGGGTTGGCCGGACTTTCTAAAGGCACTTGACAGCTCAGCAGGAAGTTTTTCTCTCCTTTTCCTGACACATACAGATCCGGTGTGTGCAGAAGCATTCCCCAGGCTAAACCCCAGGCTGAGACCACACTAGGAAGGGCTAGGAACAGAAACGGGGCAAGGATGTGCTAGGAGAGAGCAGAGCTGTGGATGCAGCAGCAGCAAACAAACTGAATAAATTGCCTGTGCCTCACATGTTGCCTGAAATAACAGCCACACTTTTTCATTATGCTGGAACAGGTGGTCTCTCTGCAGTTTATTGCCTTGAAAGTAGGAGACCATTGAGATTTTCAAATTGCCTTTCACACCAGGAATTCCTTGTTACTCCTGCCTTAGGTCTATGGGTTATTTACCTTTCTTTTGGTTGGGGGGTGGCGGTCACATTAGTTCAAGCTTTCATCCCCCTAAATGTTTGCACTTCACATGTACCAGTACGTAGCATGAACTGTTTGGGTAATTTCCCTTTGCCAGCCTGGAGACCAGAGGTGCCTATGTGGGGGAACACCCACGAAGGCAGTGTTGGTCCGTCTGTTCCTGCCTGCCTCTGCCTATAGCTACAGGAGAGGCTGTAGTTTTGGGAGGGGGAGGGAAAGGAGTTGGGGTAGGGCTGTCTTACCATGATGGCTTCAGCTTGCTTGGAGTCCAGCTCCGACACTGCTCTGCGGAAGCCTTTGGCTGCAGAAGTGGAGATGTTCGGGGTTGGCATCTTTGCTCTTCCACGAGCTCTGCTCTCTGCTTCCCAGCTCCTTGCCAGCTTTTTATAGGGCAGGGCTGACGTCAAAGACTCTTTCAAATCTTCTCTCCCCCTGCCACCTCCCCATCACCACCCTCCTCCTTTCTCCCCCTCAGGCTGAGAGGAGGAGGGGATGTGAAGGAGAGAAACGTTTCTGTCCCATTAAATTTAATCGCTACAAAGATTGCAGACACCCTGCCTTTGCAGACCAGACGCTCCCCCCACCTGTTTGCCTGCACCCAAAAGATATCTACTGTGTTTTTTTCCCCCGCTTCTTCTTGATGGAGTTAATTTTTGTGCCGTGTTTCAGTCCGACACATTTGCTTTCCCAGCTTGGGAGTTGCATGAAAGGATTTTGATTTGTGAAAGGATGAAATAAAAGGAAGGAAGAGATTCAGCCCTCTCTAGCCCTTTTTTCCCCTTGTTTGCCTTGCCATTGAGGCAGTAAAAGAATAGGAAAATAACACTGATTCCCCCAAGGCAGCTGCAGGACTAGATGCTGTTCTCATGTATGCACGTTGCGATGCCCGGCTCCTGCAAACGCTGTGCATTTCAGTGCTCTCCCACCACCTCAAGTCTTGGTTTGCCCACGTAACGCTGATAGCAGGATGGCAGAATCAGGGCCCTTGAGTCCTCAGAAACGAAGAAGTCTTTAGAGAAAATAACCTGGAAAAACCCTCTCAGTCCTGTCTTTCCAAGGGCTTCACTTGTCTTGCAGTAATTCCTAAGAGACCAGATGCCCAAGGACAGCTGGGACTGTGACAGTGGGTGGCAGCTCAGAACCCGTCCCGGGACTCTACTTTGCTGTGAGTAAAAATGGCCTTTTCCTCCTGGGGGGATTTGCAGCAGCTCTCCCACCCCAAACAAGCGCTGTGGGAATGCACAGTCCTGCTTCATGTGAGCCACTGCCATGCTGGGAACAGGCCACCAGCTGGCACAAATCCCTGTGGTGGGGAAACCAGTGATGTTTCACTAGCTGACTTCCAGAAAGCTCACCCACAAGCTTGCTGACGCAGTGTTGTTTTTGAAGACGTCTGCTGAAGACACCTGGTTAGCACTGGTGGCTCGTCCTTCCCATGGCGGAACAGCTAAGTTCCTGTCAGTGAGCTGATGATTTTTGCAGTGCCAAAATCCCTGGAGGATCAACAACCCATTGACCTCCTCAAGGCTGCAAAGCTCTTGATGTTTGCCATCTGCTGCAAACACCATGGAGAAGGCAAGCATGATCAGTGCTGCCAGCCCCACCAAGGCAGCTTGGGAAGCTCCAGCTGGCTAGAGATTGGTAGAAGTTGAAGCTGAAGTAAGCAGCTGGCTGTAGCGAAATATTTGGTCCAGTAGTGAGCCAAAATTAATTTTAAGTTAGGTGGAGCAGCTTCTCTTACTGTGGGTGCTGAGGACACCCTGCTGTTTGGTACAGTGGAAACCAGAGAAAGGAGTTAAGCAGCCATCAGGGCTCCTCTCTTCCCAGCCTCTGTATCCTCCTTTGTGATACCACCTCACAGATCGAAAGCAGCCTTGCTTTTGCTTTAATTTCATCTCTAATCCGTCTGAGTCTCCCAAACCTTCTATTTGCCCTCTGCTAAACCCTGGATGCTCAAAACATGAGACAAAAGCCCAGTAAACTGATGGAGGGTAGTGCAGAGGTGGGGGGTCGGGGAGGGTCAGGTCCTGAGTCAGCCCCACTGCCCAGGAGCTGGGCAAGGAGCAGCATTGCAGGTTAAGTCACCTCCCAGATGCTGAGTTGGCCTTGGGGATCCCCTTACCAGGGGATACAAATTAGCACACTCCTATGGTTGATTACTTTGTGCCACTGGCTGAGGTGGACCATGGTAGCTGGACAAGCTGTGGTGCAGGGAACACCGCTCTGAGATACCAGCACTCCCACACTGACACCTTAGCCAGGCGTCCCGGCTGTGCTTGTTGCAGGCTGCACCTTTTCGCAGCCCTTTTGAGCCCATTTTTTCCAGCAGGTGCACAGAACAGAAGATCTTTTGGCATTGCCTCACACTGGCACTGAGAGACTGCTGTCACCTAAGGAGTGATGGTTGTCATCGACAGCCAGGCTCGCTGACCTGCTCAGGAGTTGATTGCCTCCTGGCTAAGGGAATGAAGGATTTTGGGGATGACTGGGTGACAGCATTCATTTAAAACACAGCCCAGCGCCTGCTGAAGTTAATCGTTCCATGAAACTTAAGAAGATTAGGATCTCATGCAGACTGCCACCCATGCTGTCTCATGTTTCCACGTTCCATCCTGACTTTTTTGAAGAAAGATTTTTCTCAGGGATCTCACAGACAGGACTTTCAAGCAGTATGATGCTCATTCCCATGATGAAACATTTCTCTCTTACCCCAGTCACAGGCAGAGAGTATGAAGAGAAATACCCACCCCAGACAATCTTGCAGAAGTCAATCAATCACAGCAATTCATCCCGATTTTGACTCCACAGGAGATCTGGTCCTCTCCAGAGATCAAGGGGAAAAACTCTCAGATTTTTGTGGGGTTTTAAATTTATCTTCAGTACCTTTTCCGACATAGGGGGGATTAAAGACAAGCAGTAAGTCAGTAGACTGTCAGAAACAACTACTTCAAACAAGCACGTGTCTGTCCTAGGTTGCACCAGGGTCTTGCCTTAGGAAGACTGAATCCACTCTGCTATTAGTGCTTCCTAGTACATAGAAAGTAGATCTCATATGGAAATACATGAGTTAAATGCAAACCAAGACCATATTGGTCATCTGAAGATGATCTATGAAGACTGGCAGGAAGAAGAACCAGCTCCAAAAGAGGACACAGAAATAAAACTTACGTATATTTCAAGTTATACATCAATGAAGAGCCCTCCCTGGGGAGTCTGTAACTCGATCAACGCCAGTAAAGTGAACACATACAGAAAGCAAAGGAGATGCCTCTTACAGTCATGGCCTATTTGCACTGCTAAGGAAGTTATTGTATGCAGCTTTACAGCCACACTAGGCCATTTTGTGCAACAGTGGTGTCAGATAGTCTAGGATGAAGCTGCAAAGGTGTTAAGGGCAGCACGCCATAGTCAGGCTAAGAAATAGTTAATTAAAATGTTTCAGAGACTTTGCTAGTGTGATACACTATTACAATATGAGTGTTGTCAATAAAAGACCATGACAAGATTGGGCCAGCTTCACTGGGATTTCATATGGGAAGCAAAAAGGGACCTGGGTAGGAGAAGAGTTACAAGAATATTCCAGTTGCACTGGAATATTTTTGCAAAGAAACTTTTAATTCAGATAAACTCTTCTGGATTGCACTACCTTTAAAACAGCATGTAGAACATTGAATTTCAGTATTTTTTGTTGAGGTTTTCAGTTCAATTTTAGGACAAAGACAAATTTCAAATTATTAAATGAATTTAATATCTTTTCCTTCATACTGTTTTCTTACCTTAAAATCAGAAAGAGAAACTATTTGGCTAGAACTTTTGCTTTTTGTAACTGACTTAGTTTAAAGGTCTCTTTAGAATAGCATTTGCCATAATACCTAAAATCAGCCATCAAAGCAAGTTCCAGTTATCCAAATTCGTAATCAATTTGCTGAAAGGATAGCCTTAAAATGTCAGTTCATGTAAAGAATTGAGAAAATTGGTAAAAAGTACTTTAATAAATATGGGAACAGAACGAGTCACTCAGCCTTCCTGCAGGCTGCAACATATTCAGAGATCACATAAGAAGGCTCTTCTGACAAACAGTGGCTTTAAACATCAGACAAGTTTTCAAGACTACTGTACAAATAGATGGAATTTCTTTGAACAGAGTTTCTGTTTTGATTTTGTCTCATTATGTATCATTTCTTTCCTTGTGAAATCCAGTACTTAAAGCTTGTCTGTTCTTCTACTTAGTTATCCCAAACTCCTTGATTTTTAATTCCTCTTCTTTATATGGATGACAAATTAGGCGTACAAATCTTTTCTTCTTTAAGCCCTGTTAATCTGTCACATCCTCCCCCCCACCCCTGTCTGGTGATAAGAGTCCTGCATTGTGCGGAAACGCTCTCCAGCATGGAGGCTCCATGTAGCCAAAGTGAAGTCCTGCTTTCCATGCAACCAAGGGCAATACTTCCAGATTGCCCTGAGTGACGGCAATATTTCCTCCATCTGATAAGAGTGGAAAAATGAGGTTGGTTCTCCTGTCCTGGAGGAGCTGACAGAGGAGGTGAGCTGGGAGAAGCCATGTGGCAGCAGGTTCTCCTTTTGGTCAGGAGGGTGGGCAGTGGGTGGACATCCTTCAGAGCAGTTTTATCAGCATAGCTACAAGAGGACAGGCATTGCTTTTTCCCAGCCAGTACAGTGCAAAGCTCCTTAACACAATTTCCACCTGTGTCCTTCCCAGGCAAAGACCCGCCTTCTTGGAGACCACCCACAGCGTGGACATTTCCATCTCTTTGTGTGTCTACATCTCTATAAACCAACTGTTTGGGTCCGTGTTTAAGTTCTGCTGCTATTAGACATGACTTCTGGGGAGTGTGAGCTTGGTTGGTTAAACCAAGCCAGGCTGGTCTCAGCTTTTGTCATGTTTGACTAACTACCAGATTTGCTGATGAGGAAGAGGAGCCTTTAGGAAGCTTTATGAAGGAAATACAACAGATGGATGGGTCTTCAACACTGCTTTGTTTCTCACACTCCAACCACAAGACCATCCTTGAATGTGTGCAGGTGTCTTGTGTATCCAGCTGTGTGTTTTAAGGGATTAATCTGACATAAAGCAGAAACGGCAAACACTGTTGGACACTGCTTCATTGCACTAGTCCCCAGACAGAGAAGTCCATAAACTCAGAAGCTCTGACTGTGCCTCCCTCAAGGGTAAAGCAGAACGAAAAGAAATCCAGAAATGGCATTAAGGTGCAGAGTGCTGCTGGTCCTTGGGAGGTTCATTTCACCTGCCACTGGATGCAGGATTGGCAGTGCAGAGAGAAAAGCAAGATATTCTCTCTGCTGGCTGGAT